GGCGTCCCCGATCCCTGCGATCCCCTTTTTTTACCTCCCCCCCCTCGGGCTGCTCCTCAGGGTGGTTTTGCGGGTCTGGTTGGGTTGGCTTCGCGGGTTGTGGGCCTTGGTGCTCGAGCTTGGCGCCGCTGATACAGCTTAGGCCAGCGCCTCGGCGTGGCCTCGAGGGGCTTCCGCGCACTGCGGTCGTGCGTGTTTTTTTTTTGCGGCGTATATATATATATATACATATATATATATATATGTATATATGTGTGCGTATATATATATATGTATGTACATATATATATATATATATATATATGCACAGATACACAAACAGAAACAAGGACGTCGTCTTCGACCTCGGCGGGGCACGCCTGGGCGTCGCGGACGCGGCCTGCCCCGAGTACCGGGAGCAGCCCGCCTTCGAGCAGAAGTTCTCCGCCGGCCCCGCCGCCCCGCGCCTGGGCGCGAGCCTGCGCGCAGGCAGCTCCCGCGCGGCCGAGCCCGCGCGCACCGCCCTCGCCGGCGCCGCGGCGCGGCCGGGGCTCGCCTCGGTGGGGGCCGCGGCGGCCCTGGCCGCAGCGTCGCTGGCAGCCTTGCGCGCGAGGTGGGCCGGGAGGTGCGCCGCGCACTCCGGCGGAGGCGGCGAGGACGAGGCGAGCCTGGTGGCCCTGGCCGACGAGGCTCCGACGTCGACAGAAGTGGTCCTGGCCTGAGGTGTCCCTAGCTTTTCGCGCCAGTCTGGAGCTCCTGGGCCCCTCTGGGCCTCGTGAGGGGTGGTCCGGACCCAGGCATGCGACATCCCGATGTTTTTTCAGTACGGCTTTCCAAGTCGTTTCGCGAGTCTTCAGAACCCGTTCCCCAGGCCCTCGTGAGGGCTGCGTCTGGACCCCTTCTCCAGGACTGGCTTTTCATCCTGCTCAGGGGAGGGCCCCAAGGGCCCAAGAGTAGCGAAACGCTTCCCGTCTTGCGTTGTAAGAACAACATGGTCATGTCTGGGGAGGCCATGTGTATGGAACCCGTGTAATACCCTCATATATACTCCTTATCCCTACCTCTCCCGCACCTGGCCGTTTGGGCTCAGGTACTGAGTTGGAGCGATCGTGCCTTGATCGCTTGGGAGGGAAAGATATCCATCTATCCCTCCATCTCTCTACCAACGGATCAGGGGTTCTGTACTCTTGTACTTCAACCCCATACACAGGTTATCAGCCCTTTAACGCTCACCTTCACCGACTCGCCCGCGGTGACCTTGCATGCGAACCCAATGGAGCCGCTTCGGCGCATGCGCCGTAAGGGTCCCATTGGGTCTTCGCGTCCAAGCTCTCCCACGGTGCGACGGCTCGGTGACGAGTTGGAGAGCATTAGTGCGGACTGTGTTGGTGTCCCCGATACCCCCCCCCAGCTCCCGAGGACCCGAGGCGCGTCTAGCTGCTGAACTTCGCCGCAGCGCCGCCCGCGGGGGGACAGGAGAAGGAGTAGGAACAGGAAGGAAGGAGTTTCACACGCCGACCTTCGATCCTCCCTCCCCTTCCCCGTCGGGAGCAATCCCAACCGCGTCAGGCGAAAGCCTCACCGGTCTCGATACTCCAGGGCGCTTTCGCGCTAACCGCCGATGGACCTCAGGTGCTGGGACCCCCAGCCCTGCGACCGTCCCTGTAGCGGAGCACGTAGCTACCTTCGAGGAACTCAGTAGACCAGTGTCGGCACAGCCACAGACGCGGTACCCCAAGGTATCATCGGATGAGACATCACACACACATGGTCCGAGTCGCAGCTCGTCCGCGCGCAACCGCCGTGGAGCCCCAGGCCCATACGGCGAGCGCAGGTCGAGCCCGCGCACTGCCTCTCAGAGGCCATGCACCCCCCGCGACAGGGGACACAGGGAAGCTGACGCTCCCCACCTCTCCATCTCAGACGACCAGCTGGCGGAGACGTCCGCCGCAGGTGACATAGCGGAGCTCAGAGACCAGGTTGAAACCTTCGTGTCCAGCCAATACTCTGGACTACTACAGAGCGTTCAGACGAACGCCACTGATACTGCAGCCATACGCCGCGATCTTGACGGCGCCTTAGGGATCATCGATTCCAGGATCGCCGAAGATCGACGCATCATAGGAGAACTGCAGTACCAGGTTGATCGTGAGGTGTAACACTCAGGTGAACGAACGGCGATGGTCGAGAACCTGCGCAACTATCTCGCGCAGATGGAGCAACAACTTGTGATCGTACGCGACACAGGCATTTCTGCGGTCAGGATTTTTCACGATGAGATCCACGACCAGCTCCGTAACCGACCAACCCCAACCGAGGCCACAGACCTCGGCGACGTTCAGTCTCAGATCAATGATCTTCGATCTTACCTAGACCACACTACGGCGACGCTTCGTACCGAAGCACACACAACCTCGTCGAACTTGATCGACATGTTGCAGCGTACTGAGAGAGTCATCACTCAAAGGCTTGATGCGACCAACGCTGTCGTGCAGCCACTCGCTAACCGGATCTCTGACATAGAGCAGCGTTTCCCTGGTGTACAGGACGCCCTGGCAGAGTTGCGTGTCGGACGAGCCCAGACTGGCCAGCTGGATTCTCCTCCCACGGTTTACGATTTCGCCCGCCTCACTGACAGGTTGCAGGAGGTTGAGAAGGCGGCGGACCACACGCAGTTAGAGCTCTCCCAGGATATTCATGAAAGAGATACTGAGAAGGTACGTGTTGAGAGTTATCTCGCACGTCTGGCAGACCCCACCGAAGAGGATAACGCCTACGAAGCTTTTGTCCCGAAGAAGTTCGGTGGAGCTCTAACTGCTGACCATGTCGTACTGGCCAAAGACGATGCCGCGGACAAACATGGCGACAAATATGCACTTGTTGTCCTTGACAGATATACTGGCATCTTCATGGCCTACCCAGCGCTACACAAAGACGCAGCTACTACAAAGGCATCCTTTCAACAGTTCATCGCCGCGAACGATGAAGTGAAGCAGATCTACACAGACAGCTCTGGAGAGCTTCAGAAAGCTTGCCGCCAACTGGGATGGAGACACGACACGAGTACGCCACATCGTCCACAGACAAATGGACTGATTGAGCGCGTTGTCAAAATAGTCATTCTCGGTACCAGAGCTGTGTTACATATGTCTGGTCTGGGACACGAATGGTGGAAAGAGGCCATGCAAGCCTTTTGCTGTGGACACAACTTTGTGCATACATCCACGGGCGTCGCTGCCCTCAACGAGGAGCATGCAGAAAAGACAGCTCATGAAATAAGATTTGGCGAAAGCTTTCCTGGGCACTGCATACCATTCGGTGCTCGGATCTTTTGGAAATGCCTCAACCCCGAGATTAACAACGAGACTGCAAAGTTTAAAGAAATACTCGGGAAGGGTTATTCATGGGATACCACTTACACTCTGGTGGACGATGGTCAGGTGACTACCTTGTCTTGGACACGGCTACATACGCCAAGAATCCTGATGGTGAACTGTGACATGTGCACAGAGTCAAAGACATCATCATTCCTGATGGCAAGTTCACCTACCCCGTGAAAGATGGTACTCTACGACATCATAACCCTGAGGCACACGACGAGGTGAAGGCATCTACTTCTCGCCCCTTGGGTGACAAGCCAATGCCTGATCCTCCACTTTCTTACCCTAAAGAATGGGATGATCCGTCTATGATGACAACGGAAGATAACGCTATTGATATCCAGGCATCGGCTTCTGAAGTTGCTGCACCAGCGCCGGAGCCAGACTACTGGGAACAGCGTGGATATTGCGTCATCAGACACATTCGTACCCCAAGAAAGAAACTATTCATCCCAACGGACGACGTCATGAATATACCAGTACCTGTTGACCAACTCGACGTGACACGAGATTTCGAAACGACTTCTACTTTCGAGGGCGAAAGTAACTTCCGAGATGTTTGGGATGGTGTTAGCGCCAACGACCACAGGGAGTTAAGCGAGCCATGGACAGGCACGATTCAGTTCTATGAGCTTCCAAAAATAACGCCAGACGGCAAAATGGTGGTTCGTGGACGCGAGACACGTGTGCAGACTACTACACGTCCTGATCATGTTCTTCCCGAGCATTGGAAAACACTTTCTCGTGGACAGCAAAAGAAAGAGATCGATTACGCCAACGACGTTTAACGAGCTCGTGAGATTCGTGATCGTGCTGCACTGAGAGTGTGGACAAGACAGGATAAACAGGTCAACAATTTCCGTACTACTACATCAGGCGGACCCACATGGAATACTGTGGAACGACGGATTACATACGACACTGACAATGGCGACGTCATCCGCGACGAGAATGTCAAAGGCGTGACAAACAAAGAAATACTGTATGCCAAATTACCTGGTGGGCCACGTGACATTACCACGGTGCTATACTACCGTCAACTACCACCACAGCACGATGGAGAAGAACGTGCTTTGGTATTTGTGATAATGAGGGAACCGACTTTGGGACTTTGAACCCGCTCATACGCAAGTTCACCCAGTCGGTAGCAATACCAACCATGCCACGTGAGACCAACTACATGCCGGCACACAGAGATAAAATACCAGATTCGACATGGTCACGCCCAGCATTAGTTACCAGAAACCTGAGTAAGAAAGAAGTTGCCGCAGAACCACGCGCACAAGAAGCCCTACGAAAAGAATACGAGAGATTGGAAAAGAAACAAACATGGATGTTGGAGACCGTTGCAGAAAAAGCTGATATTGAGTCACAAGCTATTCGCAATGGAACAAAGGTGCATTTCTTCAACATCTTGGAGTTATCTTCAGTCAAACACGAAGAACTTCCTCCTGATCTACGTAAATTCAAGGGCAGAGTGGTGGTTCAGGGCAATACAGGAAAAGATGAAACTGGTTTGGCCGCCATATTCGCCGACGCCGCTTCCAGTGCTTCGCATATAGAGGCTTCCAAACTTTGCGATGCTACTGCGTTATTACCGCAATATGCAGGAGAGCAAAGTGACGCACCTGGAGCCTACACGCAGGCATTATTATACGGCGACGGACGAATTGATCCAGTTGATACTTGGATTCGTATACCTAAATGGCGACAACCGACATCATGGTCAAAATACAATAACCCAGTGTGCCGATTGCGATTGGCACTATACGGACACCCTCTCGCAGGTGTCTTTTGGGAACGAAAATGCCGTACATGCTTGGAAAGCGTCGGTTTCGAGCCTATTTCAGGATGGGAATGCGTATGGAGACACAACAAACTGGGACTGATACTTTCAGTATATGTGGACGATTTTAAAATGGCCGGCCCAGCTCATAATCTACAGACTGGCTGGGATTATATTCGCAAAAGCGGTATCGATTTGGATCCACCTACTCCATACTCACAATATTTGGGTTGTGGACAACAAGCATATGATGTACCGCAGAGCATCTTCGACAAAAGAATGTCCACAATACGCCCCATGCTACCTGCACGCAATGAGAAATATTACAATACGGCCAAACACGTTCGTGGCATTCGACATGACATGCTTGGTTTTACAGATCAGTGCATTGAGCGGTACCTGGAATGCGCTTCCAAGCGCGCCCAGGGAACAGGGTCACGTCGGAAACGATCCGACTCGCCGAGGGCTTCGCGATCCAAATCGCCATCCTCCTCCGGGTCGGTCGCCAGACCTACTAGTGTGC